CCACAAAAAGCATTTTGAAGTTTTGTAATAGTTGCTCCACACAAGTGGATGATTCTACATCTCATGTTCATGTTCATTATTACAGTATTTTTTATAACTAAAATTCAGTTGCATTTCTACAGCAGCATTCCACCCTTACTAAAAAAAACAAACAAACAAACAAACAAACAAAACCAAAAATCAAACCAACAGCCAAAAAAACACAAACAAAAATGGGTCTGTGTAAAAAATTGATGCCTATTTAATACTATAAATTCTACTCTTATACTTCTCAGCGACCTAGAAAAACTCCAGGGAAGCTAGATTCTCCATCAGTGACACAAGCCAGTAAGCCTGGATCATAACACATTGCAAAACAGACCTAGCAACCCTTAGCCTGTGAAAAGGCAAAAACACAGAATGTGGAATAGTAAAACATTACACAAACTGGATTGGTGAAGGATCTCAGACCCTAAACCATGCACAACAGCTGAATGTTCTAGACAACATCTTCCCAAACACCAATCAAGCTCAGTTAGGACGGATTTAAAAAGCAGTGAAATAAGGCAGCAGATAAAGGAAGGCTCTGGAAGCCTTGATGAACAAAAAAACACTTCAGAAACACCACTTACAAAAAGTTTTGTTTCCAAGGACAGGTATATACTGTCCTCGTATCACTTCAATTCAACAGAGAAAAGAACATGCCTTGTCATGGCTCTGCTGAATGCAACCACAGTCAAAAATTACTTGCAAGGCAGTTAATAACAACTTTGAGAGTATCAGCAGAATCATGTAAAACACCACTTAGATTTGGCAAGTTTAAATGGTTTTGAAATAACAGGTGAATAATATATTTGGATTTGCCTCTGTGGGCAGCCAAAGCAGAGAAAATTACTGTAAGACAGATTTTTTGACAAAAACATAAGATAAACAACTCAGCTTCTTTTTGTCAAGAGTAACAGAGTGGGTGTATAAATAAAATGCAGTAGGAAGGATGTCTCTGAAGTTTAACAAGGCCTCTAGAACTCCACCACACAGAAAACTCATTAAGACACTGGGGAATCATGGCACAGATCAATTCAGATGAAGAACAGAGATTGTAAGTGAAGAGATAGCAAGGGAAGAGATAAGTGTCATGCTAAATTTGACTGGCTAGAATATCAAGAAGGGACATGTTAGATCCCACATTAATCAACTATCAGCAGTGCAGAGCTTGTCCTGCTCCTCCCCTACCTGGGAACCTGCACTACAGTAGAAGACTGATAGTTCAGAATGTGTGGAGGATATTTATTACAATCCAGAAGGTTCACCATCACACCTGACAGGACTTTAACACATGAAGCTTTAAATCCACCTCATGATTACCCTTTCCTCATCTAACATGCTCTGCCCAAGCCCCCCTTCTCCAAAAAACTTTCTTGTACCATTCCGTATTTTCATTATTCCTCAATCTTCTCTCTTTAAAATTATTCTCTTACAGAACCTGTATAGGGTAAAATGCCATTTAAAACATCCTTCAATCAACAGGTATTTTATGACTGTCACATTTATTAAGAACTGCAATAAAAATGACAACTCCATCATCCAGGTTTGTGAAGGACAGAAGCAGCTGTCACACCAGCCAAAGTCCCAGACAGACACATAATGGATAACATTTTGTCAAATATATTATTTTCAGCTGTGTGGACCTTTCCAGCCATCAGCATCCTTTATTTGTTTCTCTTTGTTAGATCCCTCTGGACTCTCCCTTGAATCTGTCAAATGTGATTGAAATATAGGGTGTATCCTGGTTACTAACACATACATAGAATCATAGACATCCTCAGTTGGAAGGGATAATCAAGTCCAACTCCTGGCCCTGCACAGGACACCCCAAGGATCCCTCCACATATCTGAGCATGTTCTTTTCCTAACATCCAAGCTAACCCTCCCTGACACATCTTCATGCTGTTCCCCCAGATCTTATTGCTGGTCACCAGAGAGAAGAGATCTGTGCCTGCCCCTACACTTCCAATCATGAGAAAGCTTTAGGCAGTGAACAGGAACACCGTAGATTACTCCAGACAAGACTGCATAATTTGGGTGCCTGGTGCCCCTTCTCAAGGGCAAACAGCTCCCAAGTGCGCTCACAACACCACCAAAATTCAGGGCTGGTCACTATTCCTCTCACTATGAGCACAGGGGCCTGGCAGCCGCTGGAAGCACCCCCATGTGTGGATGGCTGACCTCTGTTTGGAATGGTTGCCATGGTGATATTTGCCAAAGCCAAAACACAAACTAGGAGGTCTTAAGACAGTCAGTGGCTTGGAAATCCATACCAGAGATCTGTGCTGCTTTTGCCTACAACATATACATACCTTCTCGTGTGTGTGAGCAATATTGTATATGGAAATAAAAATATATATGCATGTGTAATGACTTTAATGGAGAAGACAAGCAACAGAGAGCATAGTCCTCCAAAAAAACACAACATGTGGCAAGAAGCACCAGAGTGTGAGGTAAAAAAATATGAACAGCTGTGCAAAAAAAATAATAATTTTGTCTATAGGATAACACCACATTTCTGCTCTTGAGTAAACAAGTGTCTAACTGAAGTCAACGTGACTTGCAGGTGGAGAATGCTACAAACTTTCAAGTACTGCTTTCTAAAGGCATTTCGTCTCTAAATATCTTTTTTTAAAAAAAAAAGTGAAACGATTTTGTGTTTTATTTTCTATTTAATGGAAATACATTTGCAAGGTTTCTTTGCCATGACCATAGGCATTCTGCACTACTAATTTAGATTTGTTTCTTTTGTTATCCTCTAAATAACTTGCTCCCTTTGCATGTATAGCTTTTCCAAATTGCTTCCTTCAAAATTCTTTTTTTTTTATTTCCTATTAACACTATTCTTCAAAAAATAAAGGCAAATTAAAGAAATACCAGCCACTAGACTGCAACTAATCAGTGAGAGACTTCATATTTCCAGTCTTTTGAATATTGTTGAATACTTCCTTACAATGGATATCAGATAACTTTCTCTGTGTAGCACGAAGGCAAATTTCAGGCGAAACCTTATCACTGCAAATAAAATACTGCCCAGTCTTCTGCTTTACATTCACGCAGCCCCATTCTTGCTTGCTATTAGCAATTCAGCAAATTGTAAAATAACAGCAATGCTGCACTACTGCACCTTCCTTGAGGAATATGCTCCCCCTAGCACTTGCATAAATGTTATCCCAATCAATAACCTAGTAATTAAAGTCACCAGCATTTTGACCTTATTACGAGACTCCTTATCTGACCAAAAAAAAAAAAAAAGTTTCTTGCTTTACTTTTTCTCTTTAGAAAGAGAACAAGCATCATTTGGCCACCCCTTTGTCCTTAACCCCTGCATTAACTACTGCTGTAATGTCACTGAAAATCGTTCTGCTTTTCTTTGCAGATGTGGCATGATTTTCTTCCTGAATATCACTTATTCCTTTTTCCACTCTTGGTTTATCAATAAGCCATAAACTGTGACTTCGATAATACCAGTAGCAGCCTCAGGTGATGAAGGGCACCATCCTGCTCTTCACCCCCAAGGAACTCCTCTGGATCAGTGGCATGGCACACACCTGCCCATCCAGCCTCATATTTCTCCAGCCTTTGCTATCAAATATCTCAACTTCAAGCTAAGTTTATTGCATCAATATTTTCCCATGGAAATCACAAAAATCTTACAAACATCATTTGATGGTAAATCAAAAACCTTTTCCCCTCTTTCTCCCGAGTAATTTATATAAAAATTGCACTAAAGAAGTTGTTCATGCTGCCAAGGTACAGTACCACTGCAACTGTCTGACAGAGCTGTTTGTCCATTTTTTCCTGCAACCTCTGTCCAAAGGGAGAGTGCAACAAGCATAAACCAGCACTTTGCCATTCTGGCAGAGGAATGCACTGCAGAGATGTAGCCCTGCTTGTTGGTACCAGCTGTATTTTGAGAGGGCATGACTCCCAGCCAAACATGTCAAAGCAGCTGTCTACCCTATGTGTGTGCATCCATGATTAGAGAGATATGACTCTGCTAATCCAGTCTTGATTTGAGAACACCGCCACAAATAAGCTTCCAGGACCATAAAAAAAGAGTCAGTTGAGGCTGCTTAATCAGGTAGAGATGATTCATTTGAGAAACCCTGCGCCATGACCTTTCATGAGTCTCTGAGCTCAGACAGGATGTCAAATTTTTATGGAGAAAAGAGGTGTAGTCAACTAGTGCTTATGATGACCTTTTAATAAGCGAATGGTTGAGGCAGGCACATCTTCTGAACAGAATGAGAAATTGGATTTGTATGTGTGTCTAGTGCTGGCTGGAGAAGGCAATGAAATCTTGTTCTACTAGTCCACTCCAGCCAAAATATAACCTGAAGGGAGGCTGTAGCAAGGTGGGCATCAACCTCTTCTCCCAGGCAACTAGGAACAAGACAGGGGGGACATAGCTTCGAGGTTCAGGTTGGACATCAGGACGAATTTTTTCACACAAAGGGTTGTCAAGCACTGGAAAGGGTTGCCCAGGGAGGTAGAGTCACCGCCAGTGGAGGTGTTCAAGAAACAATCAAACATGGTGCTTAATGCCATGGTGTGGTTGACATGGTGGTGTTCAGTCATAGGTTGAATTTGGTGATCCCCGAGGTCTTTTCCAACCTAATTGATTCTGTAATTACCTGGGGGTCTTATGGAAGCCCTGCAAGCTTCTCCAGCACTGCATGGATGAGGTGGTTGGTGAAAACGCGGTACCGGGAACTCAGTGTGCACTAAACATACAATTAAAACCCACTTTTGACTAATTTCATAGAGTTACTGTGTAAAATTGACAAGGTCAGAGGTTGGACTCGATGATCTCAGAGGTCTTTTCCAGCCTAAACGAATCCGTGATTCTGTGATATACACAAATATTTACATTCGCACGGCGGCCACAGCGCACGGGGGGGAGGCGCAGAACGGGTGAAACCCGCAGAGGTTTGTACAGCCTGCGAGGAGACCAGAGTCGGTCACACCGGTGGATGCGGGAGCCGCCCGGCCTGGAGGGCGCCGGGCAGACGAGTCCCCCGGGGCCGGCACAGCTCCCCGTCACCCCGCGCTCCGCCCTGGGCGGGAGGGGAGGAGCGGGGGGTTTCCCGCGGGAGCCGCTGCCGAGCGCAGGAGCCGCGACAGGTGCGGCGGCGGCCCCCGGCCGGAGAGCAGCCGGCCAAGCGCGGCCAGGCGGGGCGCGGGCGAGCAGGGGCGATGCGGCACCTGCCGCGCATAAAAGTGATGCCGCGGCGGGGCGGCGGCGGGCCGATGCGGGGCGGCGGGGGCGCGGCGGGCGCGGGGCAGGCGCGGGGACCGCGGGGGCTGCGGGCGGCGGCGGCGGGCGCGGGGCGGCGGCGGCGGGGGGCGGAGGGCGGCGGCGAAACGCGCGGGAGCGGCACCGCACACACACAGCGTCAACTCGGCCTTCGGCGCCCTCCGCAGGCTCATCCCCACCCGGCCCGCCGACCGCCGCCTGTCCAAGGTGGAGACGCTGCGCCTGGCGGCCAGCTACATCTCGCACCTGGCCAACGTGCTGCTGCTGCAGCAGCGCCGGCACGGCGACGGGGTGGACGCTGAGCAGCCCTGCCCGCAGAACCCGCAGCCCCGTGAGTCCCCGCAGCCCTGCTCGCCACCGGGCAGCTCCACGCCGCGGCCCATCTGCACCTTCTGCCTCAGCGAGCAGCGGCAGCGGGTAAGGGCTGACCCCTGATAGCCTCTCCTGGAGCTCTGTTATGCAGAGTTATCGGTGTGCCCAGCAAGTTTGGGATTTCGCCCCTCTTGGAGCTCTGTTTGCAGAGGGTGGTTATGGGTATCCCCTGCAAGTTTGGGATTGACACAACGAAAGGGATCAGTGGCGTCCTTGGTGCATCCTAATCTGTGTTTTTATCCCTTGTACAGCACCGAGAAGGAGAGAAACCACCAGCTGGTCCAGCAGTGAGCGGGCACTGAACCGGCCGAGGTTCTCACACCAATCCTGCACTGACTGTACCACTGCTCTGGGTAACGTCGTCACACTCATGCTGCATGTTTACATTTAAATAGCACAGTCCTAAACGAGTTACTTTTCAAGCCTATATGCACTTTGTTTCACATTGTGAGAGGTTTGTTCAGGGTGGTTTTTTGCAAAATGAAATCGAACGCTGCTGGGAGGGTTGCACCTGGTGCAGCAGCTATTTTAGCGCGAGAAACGTTAAACCTAAGCAGCCAAGCCCTGATCCTGATGTCTCCTGAACCTGTGTCGCATGATGAAACTTGAACTTCGAAACACACGGTGTGCCCTGTCAGAGGAAGCTGTCATGGACACGCTGTGCCCTACGCCTCCAGCCCAGCCTGGGCTGCACGCAGCGCTGCCTCCCACTCCTCCAGCTGCACGCCAGTTCCCGGGGAGGGGGCCTTACACTGACAGCTGACATACCCGAGAGGTCTCAGTGATGCTGGAAGGTTATTTTAAGGTGTTCACAGAAAGTCAGAAAACTTCCAGTGAAAGCGCTGCTGGTGGCTGTTCGCAGGCACAGCAGCACATCCGCACGGGACGTAGCCAGGACAGGACGGGAAGGTGGAGCAGTGTAAGCGATGCTCTTTTCTTATTAACAGTGTGAGTCGTGCCAGTCCTTTATATAGCATGGGATATTCCTAAATCTGCCTGGCAAGCACGGGGTAGGGAGGGTTTCCCAAGGGCTTTTACCCATTACGCAGGTCATTCCCAAATTGTGCCTGAACATCACTGAGGTCATTTACCTCCCCTCTGTTTATTAACTTGTATATTTATATTCAGGAGTAACTCTAAATAGCAAATAAGCATGTTGTGTTTTCAGTTTTGAACATCAGTGAAGCAGCAGGCTAGAATCTTAAACCCCAGTAATGCAGGATTTTAAAAAATATAGGGATAGTTCAATGTTTTTATAGCTATTTATAATATGCTTAATTAGAGTTTAATTAATCTTAACTTGTCACATTGGGAGGCACTCTCTATTTTTTAAAAGCTTAGTTACTGTACCACTCTGAGAAGTGCTGCAAAGAATACTTGTCTGCCTTTTATTCCCCTGATCCCATCTGTTCAGTGCTCCTGGCCAGCCTTGCTTTAGCCAAAAGTGAGGGCTGAAGGAGCAGCACTGTGTTGTTCACTTTATTTTCTGTATAGAACTTTCTCTTCTTCCCCTACATAAGTGCAAAGTAAATTCTGGCATTCACTATGAAGAACTTGGCAAGGGCAGGATCTTGGTATATTGCTCATACAACTTCATAGTTTTAGTTTCCCTTCTCCCCTCCCCAAAACACACTGATCACCTTTCCTTTGACACAATGAGGAAAACCCTACTGTCCTTCAGAGCCTGGAATGAACTTCTCCTTTGAATCCTAATAAAGAAAAATACTGAAGCAAAGTCACATCACATCAGTCTATTCAGTTATTAAAAAATAAACGCTGTATTTTCCTGGATTGAGAAGAGTTGTTTGTTTTTAGAAGGTTTCTATCATTAATCTTGTTTTTAATTAGGAACTTTAAATGGTTGCCAGATTATGATCTTTGTTTTGCTTTGGCATGGATTCATGAAGCTGGAACTCTTTACAAGTTTTGTACAAAGTGCTTTTTAATTTTGATGTTGTGTTGGCCTGTGGGTGTGGGTATATATTTCCACAAAGACATCTTCTTGGCTTTTTTTTTAATTAATTTGAAAAAATTTATCTTTTAAAAAGGTATTTACTCTATAATTAAAACTGATCTTACTGTTAGGCCCTACACTCTTATGAACACATTAAATCAAAGCATCTGACCTCTTTACAGATACAGTTAATACTAATTTATTAATTTAGCTGTATCATTCTGTATGACACTCTAAAATGACAAAACATAATGCAGTTTCAAACAATTTTGGGGAAATTCTGCTTTGAGTATGCTCTGAGTTTTGAAATTTGTAAGACAATAAAATCATTTCAGGTTTTCAAAATGTTGTGATTTTATTACAGTTCTAAGAGGTTTTTGTGTATTTCTTTGCAAATATATTGTATTTAATAGAATGTCTATATACTTAGTTATTAATGGAAACGAGTATAAAAAAGTGAGGTCCACTTTTGCACCACACTATTAGCTGAAAACTCATGACTTGAAACTCTCATGAATAATTTGTACAATCCTACAGGAATTTGGTGTTTGTACTGCAAAAGGGATTTTATCTCTCTGGTTTTGTGTAGGGTTTATCCAAAATGCTTTTCAGTGACAAAAGCAGGAGCAAGCCCTTACGACTTGGCCTTCTCTCCTGTTTAATGTATCTCAGTGTAGCATTAAATTCTTCTCCCTTTACTCAGGATAAACTGTTGAATTCAACTGGGCTTGAATACTTTTCTCAGGGTTTTAATAATATAGCAATTTAGTAGCACTGATTGATCATGTCAGTAATTAGACCCCAGAGCACTGTGGCACAAATAGTCATGGTATAGACAGATAATATCTATCCAAAACAATCATAACAGTGATTTCTCTGAGGAATCTTTATATATATGTAACACTATGTATTTAAGTGGGGACGGATCCAGAACTTTGCTGAAATTTATTTATAATTTAAAACTTCTCTACCCCTAGGAGCAAAAAAAAAAGATACAGGATTGAGCTGTTACTCTGTAATGGGTTTTCTATAAGCCGAGAGAAAAGAATTTAATTTCTGGAGACACAGATGAATTGAGGGCTCAGATCACACTTGTAAAGAGCTCATCATCATTAGGTGCTTTATTGAATTTTTGCTATATGAGTTTTTGTGTTTTAATCATGGAGCAGCATTATTCATGGCATGCACAAATATGTAAGTCAAAATTTGAAGGTGGTGGCGAGGCATTGGAATGACGTGGGTTTTTCCAGAGGTGCTGAACAACCTCTTGTTCTGCTGCAGACATTGGGTTTTGACTCATTTTTAAGTGCATTCTGCTCTGTATGTGTGAACAGAGGAATGCCTGATGCCAATCCCATCTTTGTTTTCCTGTAAACACTTGGCTATTCGATTTACATGATGCATGAATAAAGCAGAAACAGTGAGATACACACCATTTGGTCTCAGATCCTATTAAATGATTGGTAAAATATTCCCAGCATAGTACTTTGTATAAGTCATTGTACTTAGTCTGCTACATCACAGTATGAAAACAGCATCAAGCAAAATAAATAAATCATGTTGTTTGATTTTGCTGCTTAAGTTTAAAGAAGTATTTGAACATAGTTCTTGGTTATTTATGAATTAATTGTAATGTAGGTCAGAGTAGTTTCATATGTTAGGTACTATTTTAATTTCTGTTCTACAAAACAGAAGTTTCTGTTCATGGAAAATCTGCTTCTTTACAAAAATCTGTATTTGTTTGCAAAATGTGCTTTTATTTGCAAAAGGAAACAGTATTTTTGTTACTAATTTGAACAATAAACTATAAACCCGAAGGTAGTAGCTCTTTTCTGTAGCCTTCTCAGTTAAGACAAAAGTATTTAATCTTTTTCTTTACCTTTTTCAAATCTTTCTATACAAGATTTCAGCATATTTGTGTGTGTATGTAACTACTACTGTGTGCATTGGCAGGACAGAAGGGAAGCTTGGGAAAATGAACAAGTGAGTTCCTCTGCTCAGGACCTGCACAACATCCTAAGTGCCAAATACAGGGGGAGCTGGATGAAGGGAAAGGATGGAGGAACGGTGGGGGGAGAAGAAAGGAAGAGTTGATTTATCAATGGAAGTTCAACAGATTCCAACATCAGGGTGAACAAGTCAGTATATGAGTGAAAGAGTCCATAGTATGAGCAGTCAGTGCCACATTTCTGTGTTTTCCTCTTGCACTGTAAACCCTATATTGAGACAATCCCACCAAAAAAATATGTATAAAACGTGAACTCACTGTTTAAATAACACTTGTGAAAAGAGAGTAGTAATGTCTTGATTAATAGTAAGAGATAGTGGATAGTACAAGGCGGAGAGAAAAAGTTTATATAATATAGCTAAATAAACAGCATGTTGCAAAAGTGAAAGATCTGGGAGATCTCTTATTCCAGGAATCCTTTGCGGGTTGAAGAAAAGTGTTTCTGAAGAATCAACATGAGGATGTGGAAGAGAAAGAGAAGACTATTATTGGGATAAAAAATACCATAGAGTTTTATGAAAGCTTAGGGGAAAAAAAAGGGCATTACTTAATAGCAAGAAGAACTGAACTGGCTGCTGTGAACGTATTTCTTCAAAAACTTTTTCAAAATTTGGATGTACATGGATAGCCAGGCAGCCCAGTGTCTCATTTCAAGTGATATCCTTTAGCTATTACAACATAATACAGAGTTTCAGAATCCTTGAAGGTTCATCCCATTTCTGAAGTTGTACAGCAACGAATACAGGCTTTCTCAGGAGAGGGAGGATAAAGAGAAGGCCTGGATAAAGAAGAGTAACCAGTAGCCCACCACAGAGGATATTCTGTGGCTTTCTCAGGAGAGGGAGGATAAAGAAAAGGCATGGATAGAAGACTAACCAGTAACCCACCACAGAGGATATTCTGTGATGCCAAGAAGAATCCTGGTTCAAGTCCAGGTCAACTCTTACCCTTACAAATGCTCTAATGATCATAACCCTCCCTCATTTGCCTGCCAGGAGTGCATATGAGGTGTATTTGGTGCCTGCTCTGAGACTCCCAAGCAGCCTCTGGTGAGAAGTTGATATCTTGGATCTGCCAGAACTATGGTGCAACTGGGCATGAGCTGGGCAACTGCTGTTGTTGTTTTAAGGATTATTTAAATATTTATCATCATTTAGACAACCAAGAAATGTCCTCATGAATTGCTGTGCTACAATTAGGTACCTAAATTACACCATATGGAAAATCAGGATGGATATATGCATGCATTTTCCCCAGGAGAAGGCCAAGTAAAGGCAGTCCTTCCTCCAGCTTCTCATTCCTGACCCCTCAGCTGTGGAACTGGGTCACTGGAACTTTTTGTGGACCCCTTCTGAAACCAGGTGAGGGTTATGATTTATGTTAACACAACAAAACAAATAAACAACTTCTCAAAAAAAACCCTACAGATATCTAGCTCCTTGAAAGGTTTTGACATCTTGATACAAGTAAACTGTGATGCACCAAAGAAATTGTCCCCTGTTCTGGTGACAGACAAAATGCTCATGTAACAAAACACTTACTTAAAACACAAGTTGCTTTAGAAAAGCCTTATCTTCTCTCGTTCATTTACTACATTCACTTCACAGTAGTGTTGTGAGGTTTTAATTAAACATTTGGAAATTGCTAGTGGTCTTCCAAAGGAGAAACCAATATAAATAAGACATTACACTTGAAATGGGTGATGAAACAAGTAAGTGATAAAAGTAATTCTACTTGCTATGACATCTCTCTCTAACATCTGATTGTCTTTCCTTCACATTATTAAAATAAACCCTACTTTCCAAGCATATGTATGCAGATCATTTTTAAATGCAGAGATTACAGAAACAGGTAATTCTTTCAGTAACAGAATGGAGCTTGGTGAGAAGTGTAGGCATCTGTCAGGCCTGGATAAGATCAGACAGCTGTGCTCTATCCTGAAAGGGTGCCATGAAGCTCAGTTTTCTTAGGGAAATAACATTCTCAGTATGAAAAGCAGCAAAATGCAATGAAGTCTCCAAACAAATAAGTAGTGAAAACAGGAACTCTCAGAGTTCATTTTTATCTAAAATACCAACTCTACATCAGGTGAAAAAATGCAGGATGAGAGGAGGAAAACATCTTTACAAAAAAAAAGTAAAGGGCAGGAGGATCATTTCACTTTATATTCTCGGTCAAGTTAACCCTTTAGATTAGAAACAAGATGTGAGTTTACAACAATAATGACTGCAGAGAGCAGTTATAGTAAGAGGGCTGGAACACTGGACAGGCTATGGAAAGAGGGGTGTTAAATGGAGACAAGAAAGCAAGGCAGGTGGAAATCCAACAGCAGTCTCACAGCAGCTACGGAGGAAGGCAGAGCCAGGCTTTTCCAAGAGGCACACAGTGAAAGCACAAGTTGCAATGAGGTAATATTTATTCTATTTTACTTAAGGAAGAATGCTTCTCATCACAAGCATGGTTAAGCACTGGAACAGGTCATCCAGGGAGGCTGTGGAAGCCTCCACCTTGGAGAGTCTCAGAACTTGATGGAGCAAGACCCCAGTCAGTCTGGTCTAACTTTGAAGTCAGCCTTGCTTTGAAACTGGGAGAGGTATTGAATAAATCAGAAGGTCCTATCCAATCTAATTTTTCCCATCATTTTAGGAAATGATGAGCTTATGACTGCCTGGAAAGGAAGATTGTAGAACAGAATAATAAGAAAAACTTGAAAAATTCAAGGACTTCACAGGAAAAATCTATACTTTGGGGCAGTGCCAGGATCTATTCCAGATGAGATAGGAGGCATCCAGCATGCATACCAACAGGAGAGCAAAAAAGATTTTGGGAGAAAGGAGAAACTGAATATGCCTATAAAGAGAATTTCTAAAAATAGAAACAGAGGCAGGGCATTATTTCTATCAGAAGGACCTCCCAGGCCTATTCTGGCTTTGAATTAGTAAATAGGTTCTAATTATTTGTTTGGATGATGGTTAAATTTACAGGTGACAACTTTGGAGGGTAGGATTATAATTAGAGAACAATAGAACAATAGAACTCGTAGAACAGTAAAATGAGAAATGTTCTTAAAAAGATGCATTTCAGTGTAGGAATGCAGGCAGTGCCACACACAGACAGGAATAACCCACCACACAAACATATGATGGAGAATGACAAGCAGAAAATTAATTTTGAGGTGTCACATATCGCAGACATGACAAGCCTTTGCCAGGAAATTAAACCCCACACTGGATGCATATTTCACCAAGACCCCTTTCGGCAATATTTTCTACGATTATTAGAACTTCCCCGAGTTCTGTCTGAAATGTCTGGCTGGGTAGAAAATTTGATAAAATTTGTTAAAAACTGTAACTTAGAAGAATACTACGTGTAGAGAAATACATGATCTTAACTACCGTGTCTGTGTAAACAGAATGATGGAGAGGGACTTGAGATAGTGAATGCCAAACTAGGTAATGGTGACACAGGATACCTGTATCTTATTAACTAATAAATGTCTCCCAAAGACACCAGCAGTAGTATAAAAAGAAGTTTTGAGACTCTGAGGTTTTCAAGGGTAACATTTAAAGAGCCTGTGGTGCTGCTTGTGATTGGAGACTGAGTATATGCTAAATAAATGCATATAAAGTAATCAGAATATCAGAAATGCACGATAGAAATTTTAACATCATGGCAAGGGGTATAACAAACTGATTCAAGATATATCCATGGGCAGCAGGAGCCAGGCTGCAGGGAACAAGGTCCTACTACATGCTGTTTTGTTACCACTGCAACCGATTATTTTTATTTGCTACACTGCTCAAAGAAAACCTGAGTGGAAAAGACAGGCTTTAATAACAGGTGCTGTGAAAGATAACAGCACAAGTGAGAGTTTCTGGCTGATGTAAGAGGCAGTCTCTGGAATGCTCAGTATCTCTACAGGCTAAGTGTTAAGCACCAATTCTGAACTAGCCAAGTGCAGATCAGGACCACTGAAGCACCAACAGTGGCCAGCAAGAGAGACCCAAAGAGAAATGACCAAAACCGGCAACTCACAACATTCCTGCACTGCACAAAACATAGCTGAACCCAGCCAGAGGCAGAATAAAAATCAAAGATTACTTTTCTGCTGCATAAAACATGTTAGTGCTTATTTTAGCATCTGTAATGAGATGAAGCAGAAATAAAACACATGTTATGGGGTGTCTCTACATTCCAGCAAATGCTGTAACATTGCAGTGTCCTCCATTACACGAGACAATCCATTGACTGGCACATTTCAGCTGTCAGTGACATATTACAAATTAGCAGATCCTCTTCTCTGCAGAAATTATTTCTCTCTGCCATCTTGGTGCACTCAAGTGGCTCAGCTTTCCCCAGGATGGGAAACGCACAGGAAAAATGACTGAACAACTCACTACCATTAGGAAAACACCACCACACTTGAAAAGTTTTAATTAAGCTGGTTAAGCTGCTTAATTAAAACTATTTAAAAGGCCCATTCTCTCATTTCTGTTATGGACTTTAAAGATCTTACGGCCTCAAAGAGTACAAAGGGGTCCAAAAGCAGCCATAATATAAATAAGAATTAGCAAATTTATTTTCACTGGCATTATTTATAGTTAGTGATCTTCTCAAGTTGGCTTAATTATCATCTGATTCTAAAAGGCTAATAATTTCACTCCATTACCCTCCAGATCTACTTCTCTTTAGTTTAACAGATGCCAAAAATAAAAAAAAATAAGGAAAAAGAAAGATTAAGAGTTTAAGTAATGCAGAAAATCAAGGCTGTTAAAAGAAAAGGTTGCCAGTTGCTGTACCAGCGATTTGAAATTTATTGCCCACCACATCCATCTGCTGAAAGTTGCTGTCTGTATGAGCAGAAACAGATCAAATCCTGTAGGCACCACTGTTCCTGGACTCATATAACTAGGTCAATATATATATATATAACTACATATATGTATATATAACTTAAACTAGATCAATAGCAGTTTCAAAGGATGCAGTAGACAGTTAGTTCTGGTGCTTAAAGCTCTAGTTCCTTCTGCCAGCTCCTCTGGCTCCTTCTCTGCCACAGGCAATGACAATAACTTCTAAAACTCTGTAGTCAGGAATTGCCAGAACTTACCTTTAAATGTCTGAATTCATTGATTTTCAACAAGATTTGGGTCTTCGAAAACAAAATTAAGGTTTTTATGGGAAAAAAAATTGCCGGGATTCAGATGCTGATTAAAAATGACAGTGCCTACAAACATTTAATACCTACACATACACAAACACCCTTCTGTGCATGTACTTCTAAATCAACCATTACCTGAACTGCACCAAAACTGATCAGCGTGGAAATGAGCAGGAACACAAGACACCACCTTTGTGTGTTCCAAATTGAGAAAATAATCAAACTCATGCAGAATAATTTATAGGGGTGAACATCAGCTAAGAAATTATGAACAGAGTGTATCACCTCTTGCTACCAGTTTACTTCCATAAAAACACCGACAGAGCATCCTACTGCATCCCTGCTGAACAGGACCAGCCATGCATCCAGACCACAGAGAGGAGGAGTCAGGAAACAAGATGCCCTGCTCAGTATGTTTGTTCCATTTTACAGTCCAAAGACGTAGAATTGAAATCCACGTTTCAGTAACTCAGCTCAAAACAGCAAATTCTGCAATTTCCGCTGAGCAGGTCCCCAAACAGCACAACTGCTGTTCCACAACCAAATGTCAGCAGAGCAGCTGAGCCACACACAGGCCTGGAAGGGAAAGGCAGAGCTCAGAAGCCTGGAAGGGAAAGACAGATCTCAATGCTGACCAGGGGGAAATAACAAAAAAACCCTTCTGAGTAGCTGCTTGGTGACATATGGTACATGGTTTGAGCTTCCCTGTGAATCCCTGTGAAGTCAATCTGCTAGGCAGAATTGGAATATTACATCAGATAACATCTCAATCCCAATTTTTTTCAGGATCCATACTCCATTACACTCCCATTTTAGGCAGAAATGAAGCCCACAGCCCAGTTTGTCTCAGTATGTAAGGATAGGTTTCTAATAACTCTTGTGTCACCTTGAAAAATTAAAATACCACCTCTTGTTCTGATTGCATATGAAAGTATAGCTAAAACAAATTTCATGGCACTGATTAAGTGTCGTGTCCACTAAACTTTCCAATCCCGTTATGGACCTTTCTATTTTGGTGTTTGTGTTGGCTGCACGATGAGGAAGAAAAATCAGATTTCAGGTGCTCCCAGGCATGACAAATAGGCACTGAAGTGGCCTTGAGAACTGGGATGTAGTAACGGAGAGGAAATTGAAGTATTCAGTATTCTGAGGTGCCTGAGCCCTCTGCAGATGGCTCGTGGATACTAGTTAGTAAACTAGCAAAAAAAAAAAAATCATCCAGTTTTGTTAGGGCTTGTTTTGTTTGTTTTGGTCTTACACTGGTAAAGTAAATAATTTTAATGCATGCAATACAATGTGAATAATAATAATACACATACTAACTTGCATGGAGCTCATCTCTAAATGATTTAGCAAGTCTCTTGCACAGTAACAAATCCTTAGTTTCAGGAGGTTATGGTACATTTCTGTAATTAGGAGCTTTGTGGAATTTAATTCAAGGTTGCTGACGGAAAGGCTGGTGATCAAGAGTATTTTAAACCTGTGACTGACAGTAACAGCAGTGCTGCAGTCTATTGCCTTAGTTGGACTATGTGTTCTACTCATCTTCATACCCCACCATTTTATTAAATAACTTGATGCTTAAAAGCTCATCAAATTTAAATGTATTTCTATATGTTAATCTTTGTATATGTTTGCATTTTCTAAATGGAGATATAATTAAAATGCAGAAATTGAATTTTATGCTTTTTATTTTGGGGCCTGTTTCTATCTGACAAGCAGATCTGTGGAAAGAGATGAACTCATAGATAAATAGAAGATCTGAAAATATTTATATATTATATAATCTATTTTGACATTCACTTTTAGTGAATGAAGACAATGTCAGCAGGTGTCTGTTCATTAGGTACCAGTAGCACATGCATAAAGATAAATTTTAATCTGTGAAATTATGGAGGTTTAATATTTTTAAATTAAGAGCTTCTCTGGTTTACATTTTCATATATATGGAGATGTTTAAATTCTGAAGTAAATTTTAGTGTTAAAAAAGTCACAAAATATTAGAATAGTCGTATTTCCTCT